CTGATTCCACCCTCGGGGTCATGGAAGCAACTTAAACTCCCTCTTCTGTGTAATATGCAGGCAATAAATATTTATTGGGTACATTCCAAATGCCACTGTCTGATCTTCTACTTAAACATTCTAAAATCCAACCACCGTTTCACGTATTACATTTTTTAATGTCTTTTCATCATCTGACAGCACTTTTGAAATGGCCAGATTGCTGCTCTCCTTCTTATGGCTTGACACCCAGCAAGAAAACATTCCTATAACCATGGCAGCCAAACTTTACCATGAAAAAATGCACAGCTGAGCTGGGTGCCAGTGGCTCATGCCTGTAACCCTAACTCCTCAGGAGGGTGAGATCTGAGGTTCCCAATTTGAAACCAGTCCAGATAGGAAAGTGCATGAGATTCCTAGCTCCAATTAACCAGAAAAAAAAAGCCAGCAGTAAAGGAGTAGCTCAACTTGGAAAAACAATAGCCTTGAGTGGAAAAAGCTAAGGATAGCAAGGCCCTGAGTTCAAGCCCTGGGACTAGCACACATAGAAAAATGAGGCATAGTTCTAGTAGATGGACTAGGTTTACATCAGAGCAATGTCACAGCTGTATGGGAAAGGAGATATTGAAGGGTCTGATGACATCTCTCACTTGGAAGATAAGATTTTTTCCCCCAGTACAGTCATACTATTCAACACACATTATGTAGAATTGAACTTTATAACTTGAGGTAGGGAGGTAAGGTGGAAATGGGAAAGAACAATGGAAGAGAACATTGACCAAGATGTATTGTACTCATAACCTGACTTAGGGAATTGTAACCTTTTTGTGTAATTACTTAGTAAATTATTTTTTAAATGTGGAGAGTAAATAAACACAATTTTTATACACATATACCACACACACACACACACACACACACACACACACACACATACACACACACACACACACACACAAGTAATGCATAGTTTTAGTGAGACTCCTATCTTCAGTTAACCACAGAAACCTAGAAGTTGCACTATGGCTCAAAACAAATCAATAAATATTGCATGGACCAAGGTATGGTCTTTCAAGCCTATGACCCTTGCTAGTTGGCAGGTGAGATAAGGGGATCATGGTTGGAGCGAGGCCAGTCTGGGCAAAAAGAAGTTTGAAAGACTCCATCTTAACACACGTCTGTGGCCTAGTGAGCATAGTCACCCCCGTGTCGCTGAGAATGCACAAGTAGGAAGATTGTAGCCCTGACCAGCCTAGGCATAAATCAAGATCCTACACTGAAAACCACCAGTGCTAACTGGAGGTATGGCTTGAGTTTTAGGGCGCTTGCCTGGCAAGCATGAGGCCCTGAGTTCAATCCCCAGTACTACTAAAAGGAGGAGGAAGAGGAGAAGAAGGAGGAAGAGGAGGAGGGGGAGGAGAAGCAGCAGCAGCATTAGCAGAAGCATAGATCCAATCCTTAAGGAAGGCTCCCCGCTTGGCTCTTACCTGAAAGGTATTCTGTCTCATGAGAACATGTGAATCTTCATCCCTCTCTCCTCGTGAAATGGCTCATTGCTGTGGTACAGAATGGGACTTTGCCGTTCTATAAATATACATAATGTATGATTTCCTCTTTTGACTCTGGGACCTAAACAGCAGATTATGTTCCCAAAACTCCATAAAAACCATCATTTAGTGGCCGCGGCACTCCTAAAGAATTTCATTCTAAATATAGAGAGGTATCCCTCTGCAGAAAAAAAAAATTTGCCCAGCAACTTGGTTCTAATATATAATTAAATCCTCTGGATACTTTGCAGTGATGTTTTATGGCTTATTTTGAGTGTTCATATTTTATTAGAAAATTATAATTTTCTCCTAAATAGGAGTTCTTACAAGGCTTGAATTATGCTGGCTGGCTTCATGTTTCAACTATAATTAAAACAGTGAAAAGAAATAGCTTAGCCACACAGAGCACACGTGTTTCGGAGCAGAGCTAGATTTTGTTAACCCCTGTTTCTACATCCCTATGTCGGTGGGGCCAGGCTGCGTGAACAACTCTAGGCATCATTTGTGACTACTCAATGAATAGTGTGGCCTAGGGAGGAAAAAAGGCTCTTCCTCAGAAAAGTCTTCCTCACAAATCACCCCACGATACACCCCCACATCCCCTCCATTCATAAAAATGTTCCATTTCTAGCCAGGGGCTGGGGGCTCATGTCTGCTGCCCTACTCAGTCCTGCTCACCTACTCAGGTGGCTGAGATTTGAAGATCACAGTTTGAAGCCAGCCTGGGCAGAAGAATCCTTAAGATTCTTACCTCCAGTTAACCAGCCCAAAGCCAGAAGTGGAGGTATGGCTCAAGTGGTGGAAGGCAAAAAGTTTTGAACAGAAAGAGTCAAATGAGAGCACAGGGCCCTGAATTCAAGCCCCGGTACTAACACACACACACACACACACACACACACACACACACACACACACACACACACACACACACACACACACACACACACACACACACGCACACACAGTTCCCTTTTTCATAAATACCTGTTGGTTCATCCATGAGCTTATTCTGGTTCCTCACCAGACTGTGAACTCTTTGAGGGCCCGAGTAATCATTTTTAGTCAATAGTGCCTGTCCCTGGGGACAAATGATAGCTCTTGGTCTTGCTGAAGAAATTCAGGGGCAGACACACAGAGTTCAACAGAGTGAGATTTACTGAAGCAAAAGTGAGAGTAGACCCCCATAGAAGACTGCGGGTAGACATGCTGATCACGCGGGCAAGTGACCGGAGCCCTTGGCTTTGAGGGGCAGGGCTTAATGACTGAGCTAAGGACATGTACATAGTGTGACTATTACTAAGAACTGAGAGGACATTGCCACGTGATGCCCTGCATAAAAGATTCTATGGTAAATATTGTTAAAAATGGAAGGTCATTTTTCTGCATGCCAAAACTAGGGCTTGAACTCGGGGCCTGTATTGTGCTATCCCTTAAAAAAATATATATATATATACATATATATATGAATATGTATACATATGTATATATACACTTGTATATGTATGTATATATACATATATATTTCTTTCTAGCGATTGAGTAAAATGCCATTGTGTATACATACCACACTTTACTGACCTACTCATCTATTGTAGGGCATCTGGGCTGTTTCCATAACTTGGCTATTATGAATAGTGCAGCAGTAAACATGGATGTGCAGGTGTCTTTACTGTATCCTGACTTGTAATGTTCTGGGTAGATGCCCAGGAGTGGTATGGCTAGGTCGTAGGGAAGGTAGAGTTTTCTGAGAACCTCTGAACTGCCTTCCAGAGTGGCTGTACTACTAGTTTACACTCCCACCAATGGAGCATTATTGCACTGTTCCCCTTTCCCCACATCCCTGCCCACACTTGTTGTTATTTGGGTTCTTGATGTTGGACAAGCTAACTGAGGTGAGATAGAAATCTCAGAATTGTTTTGATTTGCATTTCCTTTATAAAGGACAGGGAAGTTGAACATTTCTTCATGTGTCCATTTGCCATTCTTCCTCCAAGAAGTCTCTCTTAAGCTCCTTTGCCCATTTATGGATTGGTTAATTAGTTTGGGGGTATTCATTTTGTAAGGTCCTTGTATAGTTGGGATATTAGGTCTTTGTTGGATGTATTGCTGGTAAAGATTTTCTAGTCTGTCTGCTATCTTTTTAGTTTAGTAACTATGTCCTTTACTGTAAAACTTCATTTTGATGTAACCCCATTTGCCAATTCTGTCTCCTATTTGCTGTGCCCTTGGGACTCTCTTCAAAAAGTTCCCACCTAAGCCTATCAGTTCTAGTGTTTCTCCTACTCCATCTTGCAATAGCTTCATGTCCCTTAGTGTTTTCGCTCAAAGCTGGTTCTCTACCACTGGAGTCATAGTTCTACTTTCAGCTTTTTGTTGGTTAACTGGAGATAGGAATCTCACAGACTTTCCTGCCAGGGATGGCTTTGAACCATGATCCTCCGGCCTCAGCCTCCTGAGTAGCTAGGATTACAGGTGTGAGCCACCAGCACTGCACTGATAGCCAAGTTCTTGACAGTTGTCTGAGCTTTCTAGGGAGACCTATACATAGCAAAGCAGCCCCGATGGGGGGAACCTACACAACAGAAAACACTTTTCTCCCACGTGAGACAGGACGTGTGTGATCAGGGTGCTGTGAGCTCTCTCTTTGAATCTCTTCTTGGAAAGACATGAATCATATCAGATTGGAGGCCCACCCTTATGGCCCTCATTTTACTTTTCTTACCATATTAAAGGTAATTATATGCAAATGAGGTCCCACTCTCAGGTTCCTGGGGGTGAGGAGTTCACTAAATGAAGTTGCAGCAGGCAGAGAGATACCACTCAGCCTATTACACACACATTGCACATTCCACCAGTGTTTGTTGACTGAGGGGGAAAAAGTGAATGAATGCTAGGAAACAGAAACACTGTAGCAGATGGGCTGTTGGAAGCAACTCTGCTGGCAAAATCTTTGGGAGGCCTCTCCTTTCCCCACTCCCTTTTCTCCACACCCACACCCCTAAAAATCCAGACACATGAGCCTTTCAATTCTGGGCTCCACCCAACCAATCCTGCCCCACAAACCCTCTGTATTGAAGTTCAGGCCTGATTCCCGGTCCTAGGACAGACGACTCATCTCCAGAAGCCAGTGCTGCACATACTCAAAGGGACCCTCTCTCAGTGGGGGACAGCAGAGCTCACCAGGGTGCTGGGATGTTTCTATGGTGACCAGCGGCTGCAACTGGGCAGAATTGGGCCAGCAGATCTGGCCCCTTGGCTGAGTCTTCCGTCATCACCTAGGAGTATTTGCAGCTTTCTTCTGCATCTTGCAAGAGAGATCTAAGTTTGGATCATTGGAGGATTTTAATCAGGATTTTTAACATGAACCTGTATTGTTACCTAGGTAGCTCTGTGTGTGTGTGTGTGTGTGTGTGTGTGTGTGTGTGTGTGTGTGTGTGTGTGTGTCCTAAACCTGTGCTCCATATTTTCCATCAGGTGTCAGGTTTGGAGCCCAAGCCAGTAGCCAACAGCATCCTATTCTTACGTGGGAAGAGATGGGAAGAGGTCAGAGGAGTCCTGACTTCTGCTTTCAGTCCTGAGAAGCTGAACGAGGTAAGACACAGCACACACTCTGTTTCCTATCCACCTATGATGGAGGGCCGGGCCAGGGTCCCTGCTGGTCCCTGCAGCACCTGCCTGCACTCTGCCCACTGGGTCTCGCCTCTCACTCTGGCAAAAAGTACAGGGTCTGGTGCCATCTTTCATTCCCAGCATCCCACAGGCCCCATTGGCGAAAATGAATTGTGAGTCAACAGTGCATAAGTACACAGTACTCTGCCCGTGTCCTGCAATGCTGCTTGGGGTGCTGGGCCAGCCAGGAGAAAACTGGAGCTATGTTACTTCTACTTCCTTCTCTAATAATCCCCTGGGACACCTGTTCAAGTGCAGGTTCTGAGTGAGAGCCTGCCTTTCACACGTTCTCTCTCTCTCTCTCTCTGTCTCTCTCTCTCTCTCTCTTTCTCTCTCTCTCTCATTTATCTTTTCCTTTTCATTTCACTGTGTGTGTGTGTGTGTGTGTGTGTGTGTGTGTGCGCGCGCGCATGTGCGTGTGCGCCACTACTGAGGTTTGAGCTCATATTCTTGCTTGACTTTTCCTGTTCAAGGCTGGCACACTACCACTTGAATCACACCTCCCTTTCCAGCTTTTTGCCTGCCTGGGCTGGCTTCTCACTGCGATCCTCAGATCTCAGCCTCCTGAGTAGCTAGGATGATAGACATGAGACATTGGTACCTAGCTCTCATTCTCTCTTTCTAAATGAAGCCTAGCTATGTAGTCTAAGCTAGCCTCAAACTCTTGATCCTCCTGCCTCAGCCTCCCAGGCACTGAGATATACCAGCATCCTTGGCTGGAAGTTTGCATTTCTTTCTAACTGCCCCTGGGTGAGGAGTAATGTCAAGTGAAGCACACACTACATAGTAAGGGAACTAAAGCAAATGCTGAGTCAAGTCTTTGTCTGGGGGTGATGGCTGCAGATGCTTCTGAGCAGAACCCTAAATGCACAACCAGTCGGGGTGTGTCCTTGGAGACCAAGGCTGAGGCACCAGCCGGACGCATTACCACCACCAGCTCTTTAGGACCTTGGGTTCATCTGGTTTCTCAACCAGTGGCCGTCCTTCCCCTCCCAGCTCACCTTCTCTAGCCTCTGTCCTGTCAGCTGGCCTGGGGTGGGGGTGGGGGCTCTTCAGATGCAAGGCTGGTGTGGAGTCTGTTGGTGTGACTTCTGCAGGAACTCACGAGTGAGCGAGGGCTCTGCTCCTCTGCTGTGGACTGATCAAAGGCCTTCCTGAGTTTGAGTCCAGGTCCACGCGCAGCCTCAGAGGCTGGCTGGACGTGCTGGGCTTTGGCCATCCACCAGGTCTGCCCCATGGTGCAGGTGCTTGGCTTCAGCAATGGATGCTCAGCTCGGCTTAGTCTGAAGCAGCTCTGCAGAAGTCCCCAAAGAGGAGCCGAAGGCCCCCATGTGTCCTGCTGTCAAATATGCGCAGAAGCCAGCGAGCCTGCCATTTCCCATCATTCTAGTTTGCAACACACAAGTAGCCCTGGAGCTTGAGCAGAGGGCTGAGGGCACCAGTGTGTATCAGTCACCCGTCTACAGGAAGACGCTTACCCCATGCCCGTGAAACAGATGCTGTGTCCCCATTTTACAGAGGAGGAAACTGAGGCCCAGAGGGAATACAATGCCCCCAGTCACACAGCTAGCATGCGGCAGAGCCGGGATTAGAATTCAGCTCCAGAGTTCTTTCCACCCGTGTGACTGCTTCTGACATTTTCAAATGGTGCCCTGGAGTCCCAGGGCTATCCTGAGGGCGGAGTGTCACCTGCCTGGGGAGGAAGAGGAAGCGGAATCCCTGGGTCTCTGAGGAAAGCTAAGGGGTCAGAAGCCACTCTCCTCTATTTTCTACCTAAGTTTGGGAACAACTAAGGTACGGAACTACGCCTGGAGTTTTAGGTAGAGGAAGAAAAAAAATGTCCTCCTATCTCACCTGTGTGAGAAACTGAACCTTGTTCAGGTGAGTGTACTATTCCTTTAGCCCAAACGGGACCATCACAAGCTCTCCCAGGACCCCTCCTGGAATATCCTGCCCGGACTGGCCCGCACTCTGCGCATGGTTAGTCTCTTTCCCCAGGCTCCGTGGGCTCGGGGTGACGGAGGAGAGACCCAGCAGCCGGCTCCGCCACAGCTCCATCCGAGGCATCTGGGAAAACCTCTGCTGCCTGAGTTCTTCCTTGAAATTTGGATTCAGTTGGCATGGTTCAGAGGCAGCCTGGGCTGGTTCTCCAAGCTCCTTAGGAAATTCGAATAGAAATCCAGCCCTGAGAACCTCTATAAGGAGGGGTCCCCACAAGGAAAGGCAAGTCCGCTTCTGCTGCAACCATCACCCCACCCTATATTAGCCTGTGTAATATACTGAGGTTTCAGGGAGGAATTTGTTCACAAGAAGATCCTGCTTTCCAAGTGTACCATGCCCTGTTGTGCAGCTCGTGTGCAAGCTGCATGGGGTTACCTCCCACACATGCAGTCTCCCAGCTCCTCACTTCATGGCATTAGAGACTTACGCGGAACCTAAGAGACAAGGCATGGAGGGAGAGGGAGCCAGAGACAGAGGCACACAGACACAGAGAGAGACAAGACAGAGACAGAGACACAGAGACACACAAAGACAGAGACGCAGAGATACGTGGAGACAGAGACAGACATGTACAGAGACAGAGACATAGAGAGACACACACAGACACACAAGAGATACACAGGTACACACAGACACACCGAGACAGAGACACATGGATAGAAACAGAGACAAAGGGAAATAAGAAACAGAGAGAGGGAGAAGGGAGGAAAGGAAGAGTGCAAAGGAGAAGAAAACAGAGAGAAATTTCAGACAGGAACTCCCTAGATGTTGCTCCATTTTTTTCTCTCCTCCAAATGGTTGCACGTAGGCCCTTGGATTTCCATTCAAAAGCAGCCACTGGCATGGGACTGGGGGCAGGTAGACATCTGGTGTCCTCCCCTCTCTGAGCGCTTAGGCCTGGTGGGTTTAGGTGGCTGGGGAGTATCTCAGAGCATCCTGGAGACGAAGCTGGCTATGCAGATCTGGAGCTCAGACCAGGGAGGGGCAGGAGGGCCCCATGAGCCCCGTGAGGTCACCTACAGAGGGAAGGGATGGGGGGGGGAGACGGGAATGGCTGAAGGACCCTGAAGAGAACATGTTTAAAGGACAAGGGCAGAAGCTACAAAGTAGACTTAGGAAAAGTAAGCCAAGATGGAAAGCAGGAGGACGTGAAGGGGCAAAGCATTTCAAGGAGGAAGGAGCAAGCCATAGTTTTAAATGCTGCTAAGCTGGTGAGATGGTTTCATGCTCCATAGACCACGTGCCTGTGGGTTTTCCCCACCCATTAAACGAACGGTGCCCGCTGCGTCGGAAGGAGGCTGTGCTTGCTGTTCTCAACCAGAAAATCCTCACTCATCATTTTGAGCCACATGTTAGGGTCCAAGATAGGCCAGGAAGTGATTTCCATCCTGTGGAAGGGGGAAGAGGAGAGAAAGGCAAGATGGACTGGGTGACTGGCAAGAATCTGATCACCTCCTTCCCCAGTAGAGCTGGCCCTGCTGGTTTCTAGATGTTTCTTTGGACTTTAGCCTCCCAGCTGCCTTTGATCTCTAGAACACTGGTTCTCACTGTGGGGAACCAAGAATCAGAATCAGCTTGTTAAATACCTATCATTCTAAACCAGGTTCTGATGGCTCATGCCTCTAGTTACCTAACTGATTGGAAGGCTGAGGTCAGGAGAATTGAAGGTCAAGGCCAGCCTGGGCAGAGAAGTTCACAAGATTCCCTTTCAACCCATAGTTTGTTATAGTAAGGTGCACCTGTTATCCCCAATTTAGTGGAAAACTGAGAATGAAGGTTTGTGGTTGCAGGCTAGCCTGGCTTTGGGGGCGGGGACTTCAAGATTCTATACCTATAGAGAGAACAGACTCTGTGGCCTACATTTGTAATCCCAACAGCAAGGGAAAACCTAAATAAGTGGGTCAAGGCCCAGGGTTAAGCCCAGACAGGAAGCGAGACCCTATCTAACCCTTGGAAAACAAGCCAGAGGAGTAGCTCAGCAGGCTCTGATCACCTCCTTCCCCAAGAAGTGCCAAGTGTGAGACCTTGAGTACAAAGCCAATACCAGAAAAAAGAATCCTCCTTCTCATCACCCCAGACCATACAGAGTCAACATGTCAAAGGGTAATGAGAACCCGGAGGCTTTACAAACGCCCTGCATGCTTCTGCTGGGAGCCAGCATGCACAGCTCCTGTATTCTGTGTTCCGCCATCTGACTCTTACTGTCTCCTCTCACTGCTTTCCCAGGCTGAGCGCCAGGCCCCAGACCTTGCCACTCATTTACTTCTTTATTCAGCTGTCTAGGACTAGCATTCCGTTTAGCTTACTTTTTATTGTGCTCCCTGGATATCTCATCTTGCTAGGTGTTGGCTTCAGGGAGAACAAAGTTTTCTCTTTTATTTCTTCCTCACCTTTAACTACACATACTAGAGACACAATAGGCACTCAGTATTGATCCCTGAGTGGATGAGTAAAGACTTGAAAAACTGACAAGCTTTATGCCAATTCTAAGTCATGACATCCAACAAGATGAATGGCTAAATAAGAGAGAATTCTTTTTTTTTTTTCCTAAGAAAAAGCTAAAGGTAGACATCAGCAGCAACTAAGTATGCAGGAATCAGAGATCTGAGGATCACAGTGCAAAACCAGCCTGAGAAAACAAATCCACGAGACTCTCATCTCCCAGTTAACCAGCAAAAAGACAGAAATGAAGGTATAGCTCAAGTGGTGGAGCACTAGCCTTGAGGAAAAAAGCCAAGTGAGAGTACAAGGCTCTAAGGTCAAGCCCTAATACAAAGAAAGAAAGAGAGAAAGAAAGAGAGAGAGAGAGAGAGAAGAAGGGAGGAAGAGAAGGAAGGAAGGAAGAAAGGAAGAAAGGAAGGGAAGGAGAAAGAGAGGAAAGAAAAAAAGAAAAGAAAAAAGGAAGGAAAAGAAGCAAAGCA